TAAATCACGTACCATTTAGATAAAGATCCTCTAGGCTGGTTTTCACGTATTCGTCAACTGTTTCGATAAGAAGACCTGCTTCATGGGTCAAACTGAAATACTGTTGATTACTATTTGCTTCCCTATCTTGATGTTCATCTAATTTTAAACAATGATTAGCAACACCTGCTAGTCTCCATTTGTTTAGATAATCATGCCTCGGAAGCAATATAGATTTAGCAACACGTCTTTCTATACTGACATTCCACACTTTATTGTGAATATTGAGTTTTAGAGCACACATAAGTTTATGAGATATCGAACTTCATATCTAGAGCTTACGGTCACACAACTCTAGGCTTAAGGCAGACTTCGCTAATTTGACCAAATAATTCTCCTGTTAAAGAATAATTGTAATTACAAAATTACCTTGTTATGAATGTAAATCCAAAATGGCATATATCCTTGTAATTGTTGGCAAAGCGACGCCATATATCAATAAATTCTCGCTGCATTTGGCCACCATCTTTGCATGGACTATATACCCAATTCTGAAATGTTCCTATGATCTGCGAGATTGATGCTTTTAAACGCTCAGCTACACAACCAACACAATTCAAACGAGCCTCGAGCTTAAAACTGTTTATTTCCTAAGATGTTTTCTTTCTGAATATATCGTGATTTGTTAGCAACACGGAGTTACTGGTATATAATCTTCTGTACCGAGGTGATAATAACGGGATTGTCAACAAATAGTCAATTTATAAGTTCACCTTTACGAGATCATTGACTGAATTTTGAAAACTTGATCTTTGAAAAGTGGCGTCTAAATGCTTGGTGGTATCGTCAAAAGGTCAGTGTCAGCTCATACGATTTAAGTGGATCACTACAATACGTTCCCAACGAGTTTGTGAATGGGCACTACCTGCTAAATTTCGAAAATTGCAGCTCTCATTCAGATAAGCTTAAATCAATGCAAGATAAATTAGGCACAAAAGCTTTTTTTATATTTTTATTTTGTTCCGCCGATAACTATTCTTTCTTGGGCTCAAATAAATACGAATGACTGACCTTGTATACAGCGAGATAATATGCACGATAGTAATGGTCTGCCGGTGGAGTTGTGAAACCTGCTAGGAACTCTTTCGACGGATAGTGAAATATACCACGAGAGCCAACGGCAATGTCATCGTTGAACATGGTACGACAACCATATACTGGAATTTTCATGGTAATAATTTATCTTTTTAAATTAAAAACCTTCACAAATTCTTATACACAACATCTAACCAGTTTCTTCTCTTACGATTCTACATAATTGTGGGCCAACTATCAAAGAAGATATAGGTGATGGGGCGGCAGACAGTCAAAGCAATAAAGACTTTGAGATTGACTGCAGCTGAAGTTTGCATAGGAAAATGTAAAATTTTTGCAAATGAGAGAACATACACAGATTGTTATATAAGTTCTTTTGCTTTTCTCTGACAACAAATTTTCACTTACTTTCTTTCATCATTTTCCACAGGAATGGTAGAAGAGTGGGATCAAGTTTCTTGGTTGTTGGTAGGATCCAATCGTGGTTTATGTCGCTAGAGTTATCGTACTTTTCTTCATTCAGCGCTTCAGGAATGTCGCCAGCGAGGATTGGCTCAAGATTTATCATAGAATTATCACCAACCTGAGATAACTGATTTGATAATAATTTCAATATAGTGAGCCACTTCAAGTTGACCTTAGTGTAGCCGTACAGTATCTCATAGCCAAGCTTGTTCATCATTTCGACTGTCCGGGGCATATGTCTCATGGTCATCGTTCTTGCAGTGGAATCAAATGCCAAAATATCAATGGAATATCGCGAGGGTTTTAACGCACTTTCCACTGCTCTACGTCGTCGTCCAAAATTGTCGAAAGACTTTGTATCGTCAACGATATAAACCTACAAATGGTATTAAATGATTAATTTTTCTAACATTCTGCTTGACACCTACTTTGTACTTTTCTCTTTTGAAATCAGTCATCCCTGCATATGCTTTCTCAAAAACTTGTCTATCTTTGTGAAAGCAACGTATGTAGTAAGCGTCGCCATTTGCGAAAAATCGCTTGTTCTCCGGTGCCTGAAGTAGTAGATAGCAGTTGATTAAATTAATCTCAATAAAACTGTGTGCACAATGGACCGCACCTCTACCGATGCAATCTCTTTAAAACTGCGGTGGGTGTGATTGTTACCACGAATTCCCCCGTCTAGGAAAAAGACCTAAAGATAAGAAATATAGGTGTAGATTTCATTAAAATGGCTAAATTCCCTTACTTTACATTTTACATCAGTTGTCACATTCGGAAATCGTGTGAAATGTGGATGAACATACATAAA